TCAAAATCCCTCTAGCCTAAACAGTCTTCTGTGCAAGGAGGGGAAAGCCGCAGGGATTTCAAATCCCCAGATGTGAGAAGCAGCTTTTTTTCCTCTCCTTCAAGCGATGACAGTACAGGCTAGACGGCATCTGGTTGGTTAGCACCGTCTGTGTGACAGTACTGACCAATCAAAATCCCTCTAGCCTGAACTCTCATCCGTGCAAGGAGGGGAGTGAAAGCCGTGGGGATTTGAAATCCCCCAGACGTGCGAGGCAGCTTTCTTTCCTCTCCTTCAAGCGATGACCATACGGGCTAGACGACATCTGGTTGGTCAGCACCATCCATGTAACAGTGCTGACCAATCAAAAGCCCTCTATCCTGAACTGTAATACCTGCAAGGATTACCACCACTGAGAATATGGAGCATCTGTCACATAGTAAACATCCTCACAGGGCCACTCTTCACTGCGGGAAACCTCCCTGCACTGCTCCTGTGTGAACAGGTATGACAAGTCTGGAGTCACACAGGAGCAGTGGGGAAATCGCATCCCTGTTCAAATCGCATGCTATCCTCTGCAGTGCCATTCGCGTCCATACATTTTGTATGGACACAAATCGCACCGCAAAGTATTGGTAATCGGTATCGGCAAGTACATTACCAAAAGTATCGGTACATTCCTACCGCACATCATCAGTTGTGAACAGGATAAAATCCTGCCTGAACCTGATCTATAAACCTGTCCTGAACCCCCAAACAATTCGCTGTGACACCTGAGCTTCAATCCACACATGTGTGAACCCACAAGTCCCATATAATGGTTAATCAAAAGAAACAAATGAGACACGCAGAGCCCAGTTGGATCATGATACATCTTTTATTCATTATTTAAAAATATTGTCCAAGGTATGGACCGTTATGCATGTGGTTTCTCCACACCCCATGGTGGGCGGCGCGGTGGAAAACATGATCTGGAATTGGCACAAGGACATGTCCGTTTTATTTTTCAGCTGGATGCGACTTAGAAGATTCACAGTTGCAGTAAGTTTCCTCGGCAGATATATCATGCGGTCTACTGGCTCATGCGTGACCGCAACATATGTGCGCGGGACAGGAAACAGGCAGATCTGGGAAGAACACATGACTTATTCTACGCCAAAAAAAAAAAAACCGCAATGGGATGTGCCCTGGTAAGGCAGCTTTTTTTTTTTTTTTTTTTTTTCCTAATGCTTGATACAGTCACAAAGCAACTCAGCACCAGAATATGAATCGATCGTTCTAGAGCAAATTCTAGAAAGAAAACTGCATAGAAGGATTTATTTGAGTTGAACATGAATTGAAGCTTCAAAACGATCCGGATACTAGGACTGGAATTCAGCAACAAGATATCTATTGGATGCGGGGGCGGACTGACAACTCATGGGGCCCCCGGGCAATAGGGGATCATGGGGTCCCTGTGTCCTTGCCCAAACTCAAAAAAGCCTATGAAAAAGGTACCAGGGGCATCTCATGGGGCCCCCTACTGACCCCGGGCAGTGCCTGAGTTTCCAAATGGTCAGTCCGCCCCTGATTGGATGGCACCGGTGTTGGCAGAAAAGTGATTGTTGTCAAAGGCAGGGCCTCGTGTTTTGGGCCGGAGCATAGATCCAGCTACGCCCCGACAATGACGGGGGACAGATCTGTACTGGTGACAATATGGAATGTTGAGTGGCCACAGACCGGATAAAATGGCTCCTTTCGTAAGCGTGGCTTTACATCCTAAGTCTTTTTTTTTTTTTTTTTTTTTTAAAGGCTTCTTTCATGATATCAGTGTGCTGGTTATTGGTTTTATGTGTTTTCTAAGCAGGCAGCTCCAAAGACGCCTTGATTAATCATTGCACTCTGGTCCTTGGCCTGATCAGAATGGGAAGAGATGACTATCCTTTGCCTGCACTTTTGACGCCTTTTGCATAGTCCAGCTTGCCACGGTAGAGTGGTTAGCGGGTCGTCCTTACAGCAGACCTTCACCGGCTGTGTAGGAGGAAATGATCAGAAATGCTCAGGAAAAGTCATCGGCTGCCAGAAACAATGGCTTGGGATGTCTCCGTATGGCGCGCTTTGTCTCACCTGACCACCAGAGTCAAGTATGTTCATCACAACCATGCAGCATGTCATCTATGGGTTTCATCCCAAGGACATCAGTAGGGACTGCATTTGTGTCTATTTCAGGATTATGGATGTGGATAATGTACTATAGACAGTATATGGGCCGTACCAAAAGTGGTGCCAAAGTGGGCATAACTTGTACATTACCTCACACAGTTCATTCAAATTTCACATGTGGTAGAGTGTTACTTCCTCTATGGCAGGGGTCTCCAAACTTTCTAAACAAAGGACCAGTTTACTGTCCTTTAGACTTTGGGGGGGGGGGCAGACTGGGGCCAGTGGGAGTACATAAATGCCCTGGTGTCCGGAAACAATGCCGCAGACTTGGTGGTTATTACCAGTAGAAACTAAATTACGTAACACTTGTGGGCAGTAGCAGGAGGAATAGTGCCCCATTATTGGTGTCAGTGTGAGGAATGGTGCCCCATCATTGGTGTCGGTGGGCGGAATGGTGCCACGTCATTGGTGTCGGTGGGAGGAATGGTGCCACGTCATTGGTGTCGGTAGGCGGAATGGTGCCACGTCATTGGTGCCGGTGGGACCAGATCATTGGTGCCGGTGGGAGGAATGGTGCCACATCATTGGTGCCGGTGGGAGGAATGGTGCCCCATTATTGGTGTCAGTGAGAGGAATGGTGCCCCATCATTGGTAGCAGTGGGAGGAATGGTGCCCCATTATTGGTGTCATTGGGAGGAATAAGGCCCCATCATTGGTTTCAGTTACAGGTAATGGTGCCGCGTTGTTGGTGTCAATGGGAGGAATAGTGCCTTTTATCAGTGGGAGTAATAGTGCCCATCATTGGTGTCAGTGGGAGGATTCATGCCCATCATTGGTGTCAGTGGGAAGAATGGTGCCTCATCATTGGTATCTCTGGGAGGAATAGTGCCCCATCACTGTTATTTGTGGGAGGAATAGTGTCCTATCGTTGGTGTCAGTGGGAGGAATAGTGCCCCATTGTTGGTGTCAGTGGGAGGAATAGTGTCCTATCGTTGGTGTCAGTGGGAGGAATAGTGCCCCATCGTTGGTGTCAATGAAAGGTAATGGTGCCTCATTGTTGGTGTCAATGGAAGTAATAGCATAGCAGGCTATGGAATGATGACAGAGATGACACCATTGACCAGAGCAATGTGCACACATGGAGGAATTTAAAGAACGATAAACCAGCACTGAAGCCAAACCACGTAGAGGGAGACCAGTATTGATGGCCGGCACCTCTCCTTCATCAAGAACTCAATGACCACACATTGTTCCTGCTTGGAGTCCATTACTTACCTGCAATGATGAAGAAGATGAAGGGCTACTGAAGAGCTACGGTGGAGGAAGGGTTACGGTGGAGGAAGGGCTACTATAGAGGAAAGGAAAGGAGGAAGGGCTACGGTGGAGGAAGGGTTACTATAGAGCAGTGTTTCTCAACTCCAGTCCTCATGGACCCCCAACAGGTCATGTTTTCAGGATTTCCCTCAGATGAAACAGCTGTGGTAATTACTAAGGCAGTGAAACTGATCAAATCACCTGTGCAAAATAATGGAAATCCTGAAAACATGACCTGTTGGGGGTTCATGAGGACTGGAGTTGAGAAACACTGCTATAGAGGAAGGGCTACTGTAGAGGAAGAGTTATTGTGGAGGAAGGGCTGTAGAGGAAGGGCTACGGGAGGAAGGGCTAAGGTGGAGGAAGGGTTAAGGTGGAGGAAGGGTTACGGTGGAGGAAGGGCTACGGTGGAGGAAGGGCTACGGTGAGGAAGGGCTACGGTGGAGGAAGAGCTACTGTAGAGGAAGGGCTACGATGGAGGAAGGGCTACGATGGAGGAAGGGCTTAAGGTGGAGGAAGGGCTACTGTGGAGGAAGAGTTACTGTAGAGGAAGGGTTACTCTACCGACATGTGAAATTTGGTCATACAGCAATACACCTGTTCTAGAATGCGGTGCTGGAAGCATCCATACCAGAACCACATAACCGTTCTAGGGCAGGGATTCAATGAACAGTTTTTCTAGTTTGAACCACAGAAATCAGAGTGGCTGATTCCATCACAAGCTTTGCAAGGAGGTGTTTCGTGTCTTGGTTAAGTACCTTTAAAGGCAAAGTTCCCCCTTCACACTCCCTGGTCAATGCAGACAAGGGGACCCAGTAGTTTGAAATAGACGGTGTTGTTTTTGTAAAAATATTGTTTAATGCAGATGCCATACCTGTAGGCCTTCTCTGTCACCCATAAAGCCCGGCCGAAATTACTCTCCAATCTTTCCATTCCCACGTCCTGCTTTATTCACATTGGGCGCTGACCCCCAACTTCGCAGGAGCGAGCATGTTCCCTGGATAAGAAGCTGCACGTGTGCAGTGCGCTCTCTCCTGTTGCAGCAAAGACTCTTCAGTTGCACATCCCTCCACCAGGAGTTTCACCTTGTTGCAGCTCCTTTCCATATGGGTTATAGCAAAATGGCCCCCCAAGCCTCCTTTTTTGAGGACAACTAAAGAGACAACCTCTTTAGTTGTCCTTAAAGAACTCGACTCAGCAGCCATTTTGTTGTAGCCCATCCTGGGCTGTGACAAAGCAATGTAAACCTTTGGGGAGTATTTCGGCCAGGCTTGATGGGTGACAGAAAAGGCCATTTGCTGTCAATGTTTTTACAAGCAGCAACGGAGTATTTTTTAACTAGCAGGGCTTCTTTGTTTGCATGGGCCTGTTCATGTAAAAGGTGAACTTACCATTTAAAGTGCTTTCACATTCAGTCACAAATCTCTCCTAATTTGGCTTCCAAAGAGGTACAAATTGTCCCATAGAAGCTGACACCACCAGTAGTTACTGTAAGAAGGGTGTTCTTGGCAACTGGGTCGTGAAAGTGTAATCGGTCAATCTATTGTAGCAGGTGGGTGTGTTGTGATCCTAGGCGAAGCCAAACTCCATGCAAAAATCGATATCTCAGTTTTATGTTTCGGGGCCTACAGCGGTGATATATTTCCAGAACTCTTGTTTCTGCCAGACTGCATTATGAAGAGTAATACAAGGCAGTCAGATACATTCGAAAACACTCCAAGTAGAGTAAAATATTACTGAGGAATCCAACGAATGCAGGCCATATGTGGGGGGAATCCAACTAATGCAGGCAGGCCATATGTGGGGGGAATCCAGCAAATGCAGCCATATGTGGGGGGAATCCAATGAATGCAAGCCATATGTGGGGGGGAATCCAACTAATGCAAGGCATATGTGGGGGAGAATCCAACTAATGCAAGCCATACGTGGGGGGAATCCAACCAAATGCAGGCCATATGTGGGGGGGCTCGGAGTGTGCAACGAATGCAAGCCATACGTGGGGGGAATCCAACGAATGCAGGCCATACGTGGGGGAATCCAACGAATGCAGGCCATACGTGGGGAGAATCCAACTAATGCAAGGCATACGTGGGGGAGAATCCAACTAATGCAAGCCATACGTGGGGGGAATCCAACGAATGCAGGCCATACGTGGGGAGAATCCAACTAATGCAAGGCATACGTGGGGGAGAATCCAGCAAATGAGGCCATACGTGGGGGGAATCCAACACACGCAGGCCATACGTAGGGGGGAATCCAACGAACGTAGGCCATACGTGGGGGGAATCCAACGAACGCAGGCCATACGTGGGGGGAGTGCAACGAATGCAAGCCATACGTGGGGGGAATCCAACACACGCAGGCCATACGTAGGGGGAATCCAACGAACGTAGGCCATACGTGGGGGGAATCCAACGAACGCAGGCCATACGTGGGGGGAATCCAACGAATGCAGGCCATACGTGGGGGGAGTGCAACGAATGCAAGCCATATGTGGGGGGAATCCAACTAATGCAGGCCATACGTGGGGGGAATCCAACTGATGCAGGCCATACATGGGGTAATCCAACACACGAAGGCCATACGTAGGGGGAATCCAACAAATGCAAGCCATACGTGGGGGGGAATCCAAAACACGCAGGCCATACGTGGTGGGAATCCAACGAACGCAGGCCATACATGGGGGGAATCTAACAAACGCAGGCCATACATAGGGCAAAACCAAAGCAGGCCATACGTGGGGGGGAATCCAACAAACGGGCAACAAAGCAGGCCTTACGTGGGGGGAATCCAACACACGCAAGCCATACGTGGGGGGGGAATCCAACGCACGCAGGCCATACGTGGGGGGAATCCAACGCACGCAGGCCATATGTGGGGGGAGTTCAACACACGCAAGCCATACGTGGGGGGAATCCAACTTATGCAAGCCATACGTGGGGGGAGTTAAACGCATGCAAGCCATACGTGGGGGGAGTCTAACAAACGCAGGCCATACGTGGGGGGAATTCAACGCATGCAGGCCATACGTGGGGGGAATCCAACGCATGCAGGCCATACATGGGGGGAGTCCAACGAACGTAGGCCATACGTAGGGGGAGGGGAATCCAACGCATGCAGGCCATACGTGCGGGGAGTCCAACGAATACAGGTCATACATGGGTGGAATTCTGAGCTCGGGTATGAAAATAAATTGTAGCATTTCATCAGAGGGAGATCATTTTGTGAATGAAAGCACACCAGAATGTTTCATATAATTGCAGTGTGCCTTCCCACCCACCCACGGGTCAGATCCCAAATTTTGTGCGTTTTGTAACCCGATGGCGCCACCATTGATTTAGAAACTCCACCAACCAAGCCTTCAATTTCACCCCATGTTACTACAGAAAAGCATTTTCGTGGCTGGGAATCTTCTTTTCATTCCAGGTCGCAGCTCACGCTTGTTCCTTTTTCGACAATATTTTTCGCACGATTCTCCCGTCGTTGGTAATTTTATGAAAAGTGAATGAATTGCTAACACGCCCGATCACTCAAATTCAATGGCCGCACTAAAACCGCCTGCTGCTGCGGCTCACTAATGGTGCAAAATTCAAACAAAACTTCTTAGTTACGATTTTTGAAAGAAAATTATTTCGGAATTCTACCCATGTATGGCCTGCATAAGAGACGGACCTCTTTACAGCCTGTGTCGGTGGATAGGTCAGTATTGCTGATCTCCCCATACGGGTCAAAGGGGAATGCAATGCAGGTTAGAAGCAGGTGAAATGCACCTGTCCATGTACTGCAAATGACCTCACAAGCTTCTCAAGTGCAAGTGGAATGCACCCAAACGCAGCTGCATTGGCCCATAAACACAGGCCCGTGGGATGCCAGTTGGGGGAAATATAATCTGCAAAACATTTAGGAAGGTGATTGATGATTTAAAGCTGAACTCCAGAAATTCAGCAACTTCGTAAAAAAGTGCAGGCATAGGAAAAGTACAGCCAAAGCTCTATGTCTGTACTTCTGCTGTGGATGACGGGAGTGTAGTTCGTTCTGCACTCCTGTGAGTCGTTTTCAGCCGACAGCGGGCATCACTGAGCTGGTCCAGGCTGGGGAAAGATCCCGATTTCAAAGTCGGGATCCACCCCAAAGCTTGGAGCGACACCAGGCGCAGTGAGGCGCTGAGAGCCTGAGCCAGTTGCTTCCTCCACAGCCCAGCGCTCCAGTGCAGTGGGGGGCAAAGCAGAGAACGGTGACTGAGCGGCTGTGAGAACTCAGCAGTCATGTGATCGCGGAGTTCACACCCTTAGAGCCGGTGGGGGACAGATGCAGCATCGATCTGATCGATCACCTAGGTAAGTATGATAAAAAAAAAAATATCATACTTCTCTTTTAAGTTCAATGAGGTGCATGCCACCTCATTTATCTAAATCTTTCATTTACATCTGACAAGTTTATTGTGCTCCAGGAAAATAGGTTCCGGAGCTCCCACACTGGACACTCTGGTTTCAGATCCCTCTAGTGTGGAGTCATTGCCACTGATATACCCACCTCTCCTCTCCTCCTGCCCAATCACAGAAGCCTTTGTATTATATGAACTCAATTCACAAAAATACAAAGGCTTCTGTGAATGAGCAGCAGAGGGGAGGGGCGGACATAGCTGCTGTGTTGCTCCTCTCTTCTCTTACAACCCTGAGTGTTTTGAGTATATCCTCCGGTAGATCCACAAACCTTTCAGAGGTAAGTCTGGTTTCAGCTCCCTCTAGTGTGGAGTCATTGCAACTGCTATACCCGCCTCTCCTATCCTCCTGCCCAATCACAGAAGCCTTTGTATTAAATGAACTCAATACACAAAAATACAAAGGCTTCTGTGAATGAGCAGCAGAGGGGAGGGGCGGGCATAGCTGCTGTGTTTTTTCCTCTCTTCTCTTACAACCCTGAGTGTTTTGAGTGTATCCTCCGGTAGATCCAGAAACCTGTCAGAGATAAGTCCAGGAGGTGGCATGCACCTCATTGGACTGAACTCACCGTGTGCCTGAACTCACCGTGTGCCTGCACTTTTCACAAAGTTGCTGAATTCCTGGAATTCATCTTTAAAACATGGGCAATATTCCTCTTGTATACTGTACTGGACTTGACCATGTGATTAAAAGCGTACTTCAACGATTTTGACTGGCCACGGTGTACAACAGGGATGAAATGTGGTGTCGGCACACCGGTGAGGTTGCATCAAAGTGCAAAGCTCTTGCATGATTGCATAGAAAACAAATGTTTTGGGACCATTCAGGGGACCCTTCCTCTAGCACAAGGGTGTCAAACTGGTGGCCCTCCGGCTGTTGCGAAACTACAATTCTCATCATGCCTCTGCCTTTGGGAGTCATGCTGGTAACTGTCAGTCATGCAATGCCTCATGGGACTTGTAGTTTGGCAACAGCTGGAGGGCCACCAGTTTGACACCCGTGTTCTAGCATGTGATAGTCACCCTGAGGTCATCACAGAGGGCGCTCTTTACGTCTGGAGGAAAAGAAATGTAATCTCCAAACACGGAAAGGTTTCTTCACAGTGAGAGCTGTGAGAATGTGGAATAGACTCCCTCCAGAGTTGGTTGTGGCCAGCTCAGTGGATTGCTGTAGGAAAGTTCTGGATTCTTTCTTGGATACACAGAATATAACTGGATATAACATTTATAGGGAAAGTTGATCCAGGGAATATCCGATTGCCTCTCGGGGGATCAGGAAGGAATTTTTCTCCCTGCAGGAGCAAATTGGATCGTGCTTTGCTGTCTTTTTTTTTGCCTTCCTCTGGATCAACTGTGGGTGAAGGATTGTAACTTTTTTTTTTCTTTTTAATGGTTGAACTGGATGGACTTTTGTTTTTTTTTCAGCCAGACTAACTATGGAACTATGTGATGAACATGGTCCGGATCTGCTGCTTTCCCAGCATACGAGAATACAAATCTTTGCTCTTTGATACAAGTTAGTGGGGGTGCTGGCGCCACCTTCCATCCATCGTGGTTTAATACCCCCAAAAACTGAGACATCAACTTCTGGTGGAGCCTGTCAACAACCAGTAGCCTATTCCTAACCAATCAGGTTGGAGGATAAACCTTCTCTAGTGTCGTATGTTTCTTTGTTTTTTCTTTTTTTTTTTTACTTTTTTTTTCCTTTTCTTTTTTTTTTTTTTTTTTTCGCCATCAAGTTGCTCTGTGACTATAGTTCACTACACATCTATCGTTGTGTTCATTTATTCACATAGCACAACCAACAGAAAGTCTAAAAAGCAATTAAAAAAACTAAATGTAATCTTGATAACAAAATAAATACTATTTTCTTTAAAATATAACCTTGAAACAGTCTCTGCGATACAAAAGTAAGATAATATGTCTGGAGGCAAAAGAGACATCCCCCGCCGGAGGGGGATTGGGTAAGGAGGTCCACTGGAAATGAAATAGGCCTTTAGCTACAAAGCACAAAAAAAAAACGATGACACCTACAGGGTGGGAGGACACAAGACATCTCACGCTCCGTGACGCACAGCTCTGGTGGACCTGCATCTCCTAAACGAACACAATAGTTTCATATGGATCTGTACAGACTGGCCTTCCAGCCGGCATCTGTAAACAATATTGGTGGGAGACGATCTCCTCAGACTTCTAATGTAACGATAGAGTCCTAAGACAGAAAATTGGAATCCGATCTCCCAGCTCCTTCTAATACAAAACACAGGGATACATATTGTTCTAATACACAGGGAGGAGGGGCTGGAAAAAAAACACGACTGGCAGTTTGATTCCTAAAAGAAACCTCAAGGCTACGTCCTCTATTCTTCTTGGAAAGGGCTTGGCAGGAGAGCTGTTACTTGTCCTAGCTGAACTTTCCATCTAGTGAGGATACCACTGCAAAATTCCAGGGAGAGGCGCAAGGCTCAGAGGAGACCAGACTAATGCACCTCTTCTCTGGCAGTGCTGGATGTAGGATGCCATTGCAAAGCTCCAGGGAGTGGTGCAAGGTCCAGAAG